CTAAGGAGCATGTGGGCGTCATCACAATTGGATTACAGAACATTTCCATCACCCCCCCAGAGAGAGTTTAAACCCCATTTCCTTCCAATGCTGACCCCTCCCCCTTTGGCCACCACTTACCTACTTTCTCGATGGATTTGCCTCTTTATTTCCCCTCTCATTACCCAGAAGTGGAATCATCTTTCTCCCTCAGTGCGTCTGCTGAGTTTGAGCCAACAACCTTGAGGTGAGAAGCACAACACTTAGCCCATGGCTGTCGGAGGCCTTGGTATTTACGGTGGTCATTGTGGGAGGTAGATGTCCTCCGGTTGGGTCCAACTGCTGGCAGTCTTATGAATAGAAGAATGAAACGTGGCCCAGTCCTGCGCCAGCCTCCCAATTGCGACGTCTGAGCCCATTGTGGCCGCCATATGTCAATCCATCTCATCAAGGGCCTTCCTCTTCCTCACCGCCCCTCCCCTTCACCGAGCGTGATGTCCTTCCCCAGAGACTGGTCTCTCCCGATCCGTGCCCTAAGTAAGGGAGACAGCCTCACCAGCTTGGTTCTAAGAATCATTCTGGCTGTAATTCTTCTGACTCAGCTTTGTTTTCCTGGTAGTCCACGGACAGTTTCATGATAAAGAGAGGAGAGATTGAAATTCTCAAGCATTTCATTTTGCTTGGATCCACAGTCGATGCGCATGAAAGTAGCCGCCGAGAAATCAAACAGTGCAGCATGTTGAGCAAATCTGATGTAGATGACCTTGAACGTGCCGAAGAGAAAGGAGTCGGGTATGCCTGATCCGAGCCATGGTGTCGCCAGTTGCCTCCTATGCATGTGAACGTGAAAGGTGGGCAATGACCAGGCAAGAGCGCAGAAGAAGTGATGCATTTGCATCGTGGTCCTTTACGGAAGCGTTTGAATCGCAGTGTTTGAGACACACTGGAAAGCGCTGTTCGTTCATTACCAGAGGAACAAACCTGTCTTTAAGGAAGTGCAGCTAGAGTGCCCCTGGGAAGCGAGCTTGGGGGGATTTCCTTTTGTGTATTATTCATGGCGCACGTAACATGTGGCAGTCCTCTGTTGTTTTTGCCATTGTATCCCGTTGCGTGGCTATTTCATCCTCATCATGCGTGTGATGGGACAACAGCGCATCTGGATGGCAGTGCCCTGAGCATTCAGCACATGTTTTCCTTTCTGTCTTTTTGAATCAGTTTTATTGGGGGCTTGTATCCATCCACCCATCCATTGGGTCAAGCACATTTACACATTTGTTGCCATCATCATTCTCAAAACATGTTCTTTCTACTTGAGCCCTTGGTGTCAGCTCCTCATTCCCCCCCTCCCTCCTCACTACCCCCTCCCTCATGAACCCTTGATAATTTATAAATTATTATTATTTTGTCATATCTTATACTGTCTGACGTCTCCCTTCACCCACTTTTCTGTTGTACATCCCCCAGGGAGGAGGTTATATGTAGATCCTTGTAATTGGTTCCTCTTTTCCACCCCACCCTCCCAGTATCGCCACTCTCACTACTGGTCCTGAAGGGATCATCTGTCCTGGATACACTGTGTTTCCAGTTTCTATCTGTACCAGTGTACATCCTCTGGTCTCACCATATTTGTCAGGTAGAATTGGGATCATGATAGTGGGGGGTGAGGGGAAAGCATTTAAGAACTAGAGGAAAGTTGTATGTTGCGTTGTTGCTACCCTGTACCCTGGCTGGCTCGTCTCCTCCCCGCGACCCTTCTGTAAGGGGGTGTCCAGTTGCCTACAGATGGGCTTTGGCTCTTCACTCTGCCCTCCCCTTCATGTACAATGATAAGATTTTTTGTTCTTTGATTTGATACCTCATCCCTTCCACAGCTCGTGACCGCACAGGTTGGTGCAGCACATGTTTTTCTTTGGACATTATCCTCTTGGATGTGCTGGGGGGGCCTCACCAAGTTCATGGAAAAACAGAATTTTCCCACCAGTTCTTGGAAGCCTTTGGGATTTCTGGGTTACTAGCTGCTAACGTAAAGGGCAGCCCTTTGACCCCACCGGCCACTCTGTGGGTGAAAGACGAGGCCGTCTGTTTCTGAGGCTTTTGTAGCCTCAGCAGCCCTTTGGAGCAGCTGCACTCTGTCCTTTGGGGTCACTACCCGTTGGAGAGGACCCGGTGGCTGTGGGACTTTCCCAAGTGTCAAGTACCATTTTTTACACGCTCTCTGTAGCTGTTCTACCATCCATGGTGTTTGACCAAGCAGAGGGAGGGGTTGGGTCTTGCTCTGGGAAGAGTTGCTGTGGGTTTGTGAGCCTGGCGATGGTGGTGATGAGGGCTTTCCCTTACACACCACTATGCCAGGAGAGAATCAAGCCGGGGCCACAGGGGGACACGCCGGGGTGACCTAAGGGTCCTTTAGTGCGGGCTTGTATTGGGGTGATTTCAGGAAGGAAACGGCTTTCGAGTTCCCGAAGGGCATGGTGGACCTTGAAAATAATTCTCCGACCCAACAACGATGTTCGGTTGAGACCCAACTCCACGCTGTGTGCTCCACCTCGGCGTCTGAGCTTGATACTGCAGAGGGTGAATGTCTGCATCCGGCGAAGCGGAAGAGGGAATCTGAGTCTGGCCAGGACTGGGACCACAGCAGAAATCTTGGCCTTCCTCTGTCCTGTGAACGCCTTTCCGTGGACACTGACCTGTTGATGTTCCTGGGAGATGGGGGTGGGCCCTCAGGGTAGACTCTCCCTTCTGAGTGGGAGACCCCGTTTGCACTCCAGGTCTGTACACCTCCTGGGCAGCCCCACCGTTGTCGCTATAATGCTGGACAGATTTCAGCTGAGCTTCTCGACTACAGTGAACCCTCGCCACTTCGCGCTTTGACTTCCGCGGCTTCACTCTATCGCGTTTTTTGCGTAACAGCACCCACTGCCTACACCCGCTCCTTCAGAGGAAAAAGACGGCGACCCACCTGTAGAGTACATCCCTTAAGTCATTTCATAGGCTATTGATTACAGTATTTGTAAGAACTATGTATAATAATACTGTATGTGAAATATGTAATACTGTAAACTAGATGCCATAAATAATATAATAAATAGTAAATGATAATTGTGATGTCCAAAATGTTTTACTGTATTTTCCCTTTTTCATTTAATAAATTGAGTAATACGAGTGTAATGGTGACTAAAGGGTGTTTTTTCATGTCCTCTGTGCTCTAACTACGAAAATATTTGATTTACAAATAAGGAATCCTACTTCGCGGAATTTCATTTATCACGGTAGGGTCTAGATTAACCACTATAAACGAGGGTTCACTGTACAGTGGATTGGGAGGAAAGACCTCGGGATCTCTTTCTGGAAACCTACGGCTCTCGATGGTCCAAGTCCTTTGTGTGTGGAGCTGCAGTGATTTAGGGGGCAACTCAATGACAGTAGCCAGCAGGCTGCTGCCCCACAGCGAAAGCCAAGGGAGATGTTGCTATTTATGGCCTATGTTCTTCCGGTCAGAGTTAATGTGAAACTGTGATGGGCAGCGTGTCCTGTGCATGTGTGAGAGAGACAAGAAGAATAAGTGTGTGTGTGTGTGTGTGTGTGTGTGAAGCAGGAAGAGTAAGTGGGTATGTGTGACAGGAAGTGTGTGTGTGCGCTCAATAACTGGGGCATTTGAAATAATGCCACGAGGGAGTGAGAGCCCTTAACACAAAAGTTTTCTGGCCAAGTCGTAAAGCCTCCCATAACTCTTGGATTTAAAAATGGCCCATCAAGCTGTTTATTGTATAATGGAGCAATAGATATAAAGCTGCCACCATTCTGGGAGCTTGCAATTGCTCAGTGAGGCTTGTTACAGAGGCGGGCCCATTCGGGCCCATTCTACGGGCACAGTGGATCACCCTTATGGTTTGTTTTTTTTTTATTTGCTCGGTGATTTATTCGCACATTTTCTGATTTCCTTCTGCCATTTAGATGGAATTTAAATAAAACCATTAGGCAGAGAGCTGTGTCAAACTGCTACCCACTTTAAACTCGGGGTAGAATACATCTGCGTCTGGTTCTCAGTGCCAAGGAAGCCAGGGGTGCCTTCCATTTGGCCGGGCCCTGGTACTTCTCGTTCTGATTCTGTGTTGGAGCCTGGCTTGATCTTCCGCGCCGTCTGTCTAAGTTGCTGTAGCTGCCTCGCAGAGAAAGGAAGAGAGGGTTTGAACAAGAGCCCCAGTCTCACTGCTTTTGGGTCCATTTCGACTCGGGGCGACGCAGTAGGACGGAGCAGAAGGGCCCCATAGAGTCTCTGAGACCGTGAATGTTGGCAGGAGCGACCATCTTTCTCTCTGGGAGCCACTGGTGGGTTTGAATTGTGGATCCGCCTTTTGGTTCGCTGCCGGGCGCTGTGTCACTGCATCTCCAGGGCTCCTGTGAATAAGAGCCCCAATCTGCCCCATGACTCGTGTTCTGCTTGGTCCATATTCCTCCCAATTTAGTGGTTATGTGCTAGGCTACTAACCGGAAGGTCGGCAGCTGCGCTATGGGACAAAGATGGGGCTGTCTGCTCCCATGAAGAATTACCGTCTCGGAAACCCACAGGGGCAGCTCTACCCCGCCCTGCAGGGTCCCTGTGAGTGAGAATTGACTCGATGGCAGTTGAATTTGGTGTGGGTTTGCTTAGACGGCATCCCGGGGGATCACAACGGTTCAAGTGCTTGCCTCTTAACCCAGAGATGAAGAATTCAGATTCACCCACAGTTGCCTCGGAAGAGAGGTCTGGTCATTGCCTTCTGAAAAGCCCCCAGAGCGCAGTTTTCCAAGGAGGGGGGCACCAGAGTCAGAAGGAATCAAAGGTACCCGAGGGGCTAGAATGATCTTAGACAGACTTCTATCCCACTCGCTACTGGGTAACCAGACCCACCCCAGAACTACCTGCGGCCTTGGCCATCCTCCCCGTAGACCTGCTCTTAGAATATAGTCCCACTGTGGCCAGTGTCAAAGCTTTCTTCTTCTCACAACCCCACCCCTGTTTTTTTGTTTCCTTTTAGGCTTATCCAAATCGCTGGGGCTCATTGAGGGTTATGGTGGGCGTGGGAAAGGGGGTCTTCCCGCTACCCTTTCCCCGGCTGAAGAAGGAAAAGCTAAGGGACCTCACGAGAAGTATGGTTACAATTCCTATCTCAGTGAGAAGATTTCGCTGGATCGTTCCATTCCGGACTATCGCCCGACCAAGTAAGTCTCGCTTCTGTTGGTTCGAAAGCGCTTGCTCTGCCATAGGGGCTGCATGTCTCGGGGGACCTGTCACCCACCAGGAGGGGAGGCTTCTGCCTTCTGTCTCCCTCCCTCGCCAACCCACAACCCATCAGCTGAGTGCTGTCGGTCATGACATGCGCGCTCACGACAGACACATTGGGGATTGAATTGAAGGCATCCGGGAACATTGAGAGCGTGCCTGCGTGCAGAACATTGTCAGTCGAAAGGAGAATTAAAGAGGACCCCCCTGGAGCTCGTGATTTCCAGCTGACAACTGTTCAGAGCTTTACCATATGGTCTTTGAGTCAATGGACTGTACAAATGGTGGGCCTATCCTCTATTGATTGCATCCTTTGTCCTCCCCATTTACCATTCTATCTCCATCACTTTCCTGATGTTATTAAATGATCATCATCATTTCCGTGGCTGGCAGGCGAGGTTATTTCCACTTTTTCACCACTGTAAATAACACTCGGCGGAACTTGGTCCCACTCAAACCTTCATGCACATTGATTTGATATTTATTTTCTTAATCCACTCTTCCATAAATCTCATCGATCACAGGCTAGGGATGGCTCCGGAAGTTCTCGATGATCCGTCATGCTGTAATGTGTTCCTCCTGAAAGTTGGTACTGATTTCCACTGATTGCTCTTAACCTGTGTGTGTGTTTTCCTTGGAACATTTTCAGATTTCATTAATCCTGACCATTCCCTCCAGGGTGGGAAATACAGGCTCATTTCAGCTTTTCATTATAAGTCGCGCCTTGAAAAATAGCCTCCCACTCCCAGCTTTGTGTGTATCAATTGGATGCATGCATTTTTAACCCACACTTCTAAAAGTATCCTAGATTACAGGATGGGCCTATTTTTGGAAGCTCTTGCCCCAGGCTGTAATATTTTCCTTCAGGAAACCTGTCCCTATTTCTTTTTCACATTGGAATGCTTCTGGACCTTCGCTGGCCAAAGCACGCTGCATGTAAGATTCTTGGCCACGGTGAGATACATGTCTTCATTGGTCCCATTTAGACATATTTCTTGGATTGAAGTTCCTACCTTGTAAAAGGTTTGACTCCGTCTTGCTTGGCTTCGGAAACACCTTGCTCTTCTGCTCTTGGAGATGTGAGGCTGGTTGGATTTCCTTTTTAGGGAACAAGAGAGAAGGGGTCTGTCAGGATATCAAGATGCTGGAAGAGAATGCTTCCCTTTTTGCCTGGTGGCACCTTGCTTCCCAAATACATTTTGCGTTAGATTGGAAGTGCCTCTCTCTCTGCTAATTAGAGGATGCCCTTATTTGGAGGGGATTATTCTCTCATTGTTTTCCAAATGAATTTGGTATCAATCAGTTAAGTATCCTGGTGGCTGGAGGAAAGGAGATTCCAGATAAAGAAAATTATCTTTAAATGGATTTAAAATTGCAGCATTAGCACAGAGATCTGTTCCATTTCCCTCTCTGCCTAAATAAGCACACATTCATTTTGAATCACCAGGGAAATATACATCACCCATGGTGGAAGCTATTTTGTGTTCCCAGACCTTGGCTCTCCAGAACATCTGGCTGTTTTCATCTGCTAGGGCCGCTGATGAGCCGGTCTGATTTGGACTTGGCAAATAAACAGAGCCATGTTCTTTGCAATCCTGTGAGAATGAAACTGTTTCCAATGTGGGGTGGCTGGCCATGGGTCAATTGAAGAAGCCCTGGGAGTTGGCGCCACCGGCTCCTGGTGATCCCCGGGGACCACAGAAGGAGATACTACCCGATTGTGCCCTGTCTTCCCCCTCAAAGATCTGTGCCAGTCCGTGGAGGTGGTCACTGTGTGCCTTTTGAGGAACTCTTCCACTGTAGGAAGGAGTCCCAGTGGTGGCGTAGTGAGTTCTGAGTTGGATTGCTAACCATATGGTCAGCAGTTCAAACCCACCAGCCCCTCGCTGGGAGAAGGAGGAGGCTTTCTGTTCCCGTAAAGATTTGCAGCCTCGCAAAACCACAGGAGCAGTTCAGCCCTACCCTTTCGGGTCACTAGGGGTTGGAATTGGAATTGAATTGATGGAACTTATTTGGTTTGGTTTGGGTCCAACATCAGGAGCTTACCTTTGAGCACTGTACCCATTGCCACTGAGTCGAATCCAACTCCTGCCAGCTGAATGGATGGCACAGTGGTTATGCCTTGGGCTGCTAACTGCAAGGTCAGCGGTTCGAAGTCAACAGCCCTTCCATGGGAGAAAGATGGACTTTCTACTCCCATAAAGAGTCTTCGAAATGCACAGCGGCCTTCCGATCCTATCCTGTAGGGTTGTGTTGAGTCGGCGTCAACTCGATGGCATTGAGTGGTGTTTTTGAGACGGTCAATCTTTAAAGCAGCGGTCTGGCGTCGCCTTTCTCCAGAGGAGTGGCTGAGGGGGTTTCAACTGCCCGTCTTGCAGGGAAGCAGCCGAATGCCTGACTCACAGCCCTCTGAGCAGCACACCCTATCGGACATCTGCTGAGATCTCTGAATCTTCCACTGAGTGATGTCCAGCTGTCCATCTCCAGGCCTTTGTTCTTAGTCTGCCTCAGTCTGGGGGCTCTGCAGGAACCTGTCCATCATGGGGGACCCTGCTGCTCATTAGACTATTGGTGGCATGGCTTCCAGGGCCATGGTAGCACACAGCCACCACAGGATGACTAATCAGCAGGGATGGGAAGAATGATCAGTGAGCACCTTGTGGTGCATAAGGGAGCCCTGTGGAGTCGTGGTTATCCCTCAGCTGCTAACTGTAAGGTCAGCAGTTCGAAACCACTAGCCACTCCTCGGAGGAAAGACGAGGCTTCCTACTCCCATATAGAGTTGCAGTCTTGGAAACTCACAGGCAGTTCTAACCTGTCCTCTAGGGTCGTTTCAGTCCACAGGGGAGCCCAGGTGGCATCGTGGTTACAAATTAAGGCTGCCAACTGCAAGGTCAGCAGTCTGAGATCACCAGCGACTGCACAGGAAAAGACCAGGCTTTCTACGGACATAAAGAATTCCAGTCTCAGAAACCCACAGGGGACGTTCTCCCCTCCCCTGTAAGGTTGCTATGAGCCAGAGTGGACTCAGTGGCAGTGAGGGGTGAGGGGGTGAGTTGGCATGGACTTGATGGCACTGCGTTTAGTTTCTTCTTTTGGTTATGGTTACGGTGTTCCAGGTGGCCTTCCCAAGACTGAAGCTAAAATGCTGGGTAAGACCCTTGCTGCTTGCTCTTTGGGGGAGTGGACAGATGTCCACCTGGAGCACTTCTGCACTGAGTGGTCCAGGTGCCGGGTCAGGCTGCAGAGAGATGGAGAAAGTGCAGGGAGCCCCCGAGGCAGTCTCCTTCAGAAGATGCCTGAGCTGAATCTGAGGGCTCCCCAGGTGTTATAAGACTGAGGCGGGGGGAAGGCCAGGCACGGGCCAGGCAGGGGACCATACTGAGTGGAGTTGGCCCCGGGCGGGCCGCGGAATACGGCATTGACCGCTGTGCACTGCAGACTGGTGGCCTGAGCACACTGTCGCTCGCTGGTCTGTCCTGGGACTCCTCTCAAAAGGAGCAGAGAGGAAGGGAGCGTTCAACAGGCTGCCAGCCGGGGACGATGGGAAGAGAGTGAGGGGCTCGTGCTGCCAACGGGAGGGAGGAAGGTGACCCTGTCCTCTCCTGTGAGGTGAGGAGGGACGATGGGGGAGGAGGGTGTAGCCCAGCTGTACCTCGGAATCCCAACTGCTTCTGGCTTTGGAGGAATGGGTGCCGGGACCTCTGATGGTCAGGAAGTGGATTTGAGCAAGACGGCCACCATCATTTGCCCAGTCTTTCTCTCACTCACTGCAGCCTGTGGCCACCCTCTCCTACCTGGCTGAAGAACCCCAAGCCCAAACCCACTGCCCTCGAGTTGCTCCCGACTCACAGTGACCCTGTGGGGCAGGGTCGAACTGCCCCTGTGGGTTTTCCGAGACTGTACCTCTTTACTAGAGTAGAGAGCCTCAACTTTCTCCAGCGGAGTAAGTGGTGGATTCGATCTGCTAACTCTGCGGTTAGTGACCCTACCTGGAGCCACGACACCCCCGAGCTCCCAACCCAGCAGATTAGAAGAGGTTTTTTCCCCTGGAGTGGGTGCACCAGAGGGGCTCTGGGCCTTCCATTTGTAAGTTATAGCCTAGGGTAGGGGTTACGGCTGGGTAGGAAATGAGGACAGGCCTTTTCCTTATTGTCATTCACCTGGGAGCCCTGATGGCGTTGTGATGACGGGTTTGGATATTAACTGAAAGGTCAGCAGTTTGAAACCACCAGCAGCTCCTCGGGAGAAGGATGAGGCTTCCTACTCCCAGAAAGAGTGACCAGGCTCCCCAACACACAGGGGCAGGTCTTCCCTGTCCTGTAGGGGCGCTGTGAGTTGGCACCCACTCCATGGCAGTGAGTGAAGGGTAATGAGGATGGAACTGAAGGGTGAGGGCTCCCCAACAAAATGTCTGGGCTCTGCTCCTTAAGGTATGGCCGATAAAGGTAAGCTTAGTTAAGGCAACTACCTTAATTAAGGTAAAATTAAGGCAAGCTCCTTAAGCACCAGCCAGCTCTTAAATAAGGAAGGAGAGCCAAGTGGCCTAGGTAGCTCCCGAGAGCCTCTGTTATGAAAGACCGTCACCACCCACAGAAAAGGCATTTGGAGGGAACAGATGACCGATTTAGTAAGTTAATGGGAGATGGAACAGTCATAAAACAGGAACATTGTGCTACGTTAAAGTCATAATCAGGGAATTAAAAGGGATCTTAGAAACTAAAAATTACATATAGCACTGATAAATAATGCAATAAATGGGCTGAAGAAAACCCTGCGGGAATCTTCTAGAAAACAGAGGACTCACTGCCACGGAGTCGATTCCAAGTCAGAAGGACCCCATGGACAGGACAGAGTGGCCCTGCCCCCGGGAGACCTCCTTATGAGGGTGGGAAGTCCTGTCTCTCTCCCTCCCTCGGAGCGGCTGGTGGTCAGGTGG